GCTTGCCTGCCACTGCTACTCTCGGCCGCCTTATACTGCCCTACCTTTTTCCCGAGCTGTCAGCCTTTGCCACAGTCGACGACCTCATCACCCACCTTCGCACTACCGACACTCGCTACCTTGCCGCGCTTAAAACCGAGTTTCTAGACAAGAACCCCACCCCCCCTCATATACATCACTCTCTACTTCATCGTCACCCGCCTCCCTGAACCTCTTCGCGCAATCAGGGACCACTTTCTCGCCCTTGACCCCACAGACCTCACTGTCGACCTGCTCGAGAAGCACCCCATTGCAGGTGAGGCTAGCATAGTTGCTGTAGGTGCTGCTCGTGGCACTCCTTGCACTCCCTTCTTTGATTCTTTGAGGGATGTTCTCCTCCCCCCCTTGCTCCCTCTTTCGCTTCTGCTGTTGCTGTTGACTTCCTTCGTGCTGAGGATGTCGGGGCTGCGTCTGCTCCTAGTGGGAGGCGCCGCAGCAGCAAGGGCAAGGGAGGCAAGGGTGGTGGGGGTGGCAGCGGTGGAGGCGGTGGTGGAGGCGGTGGAGGTGGCGGTGGTGGCGGTGGGAGTGGTGGTGGGAGTGGGGGCGTCGGTGGTGGCGGTGGTGGTAGCGGTGGGAGTGGTGGTGGCGGCGGCGGCGGCGGCAGTGGGAGTGGTGGCGGCGGTGGTGGCGGCAATGAGAGTGGTGGCAGCGGCAGTGGTGGCGGTAGGGGTGGAGCCGTTCAGAGGGGAGGTTCTGGCGGTGGCCAGAGGCTGCAGCAGCAGCGTCCGCGCGAGACCCCTACGCCCCAGCAGCTTCGTGAGCGGTTTGCTCCGCGTGGGGCGTCTGGGGGTAGTGTTCGCTGCCAGTACGTCATTCGCATAGGTGACCGCGCTGGTCAGACATGCTGGAAGGTTGGTCACACACAGTCCCGCTGCTTCTCCCGACTTGACAAAGACTGGCGCGCAGAGTTTGGCGACGAGGCTGAGCTCCCCCGCTGGCTAGAGCTGATTATGATCGATGTGGATATGGTCTTCCCAAGTCTCTGCCTCCCCTCCTGCCCTCGCCTGCCCCGCCCTGCCTTCCTTGCGTCGAGGGGCAGCAGCGCGTCGCTCCTCAGTCCTCCTCGTTTCCCCCGACGACTGCTCCTCTGCAGACTCTCCACATGGACGTGTGGGGACTAGCCCGCGTCAGTGGACAGGGCCGCGAGCGCTGCTTTCTGCTGGTTGTTGACGACTACTCCCGTTACACAACGATCTTCCCCTTGCGCAGCGAGGGGGAGGTCCCTGATGTCTTGATCCCTTGGATCCGCGCTGCCCGTCTCCAGCTCCGCAAGCGGTTCCGCCAGGACCTTCCTGTCCTGCGTCTGCACTCGGACAGAGGTGGTAAGTTCTCGTCCGACCTCTTGCGGGACTTTTATCGTGGGGAGGGCATCCTCTAGTCGTTCACGCTTCCGGGCTCCCCGCAGCAGAATGGGATTGCTGAGCACCGCATTGGCTTAGTCATGGAGGTGGCTCGTACCTTCATGATCCATGCGGCTGCTCCCCATTTTCTGTGGCCGTTTGCGGTCCGGTACGCAGCGCATCAGCTCAACCTCTGGCCCCGTGTATCCTTGCCGGAGACCTCGCCTACACTGTGTTGGACGGGGGAGGTTGGCGATGCGGCGGTGTTCCGGGTCAGGGGCTCTCGTGCCTTTGTCCGCGATACTTCCGCGGACAAGCTCTCCTCCCGCGCCATTCCCTGTGTCTTCCTTGGCTTATCACTAACGCCCCTGGTTGGCAGTTTTACCACCCCACCACGCGCCGTGTCCTGCCCTCTCAGGATGTCACGTTTGACGAGTCGGTTCCCTTTTACCGTCTCCTCCCCTACCGCACTGCCCCTCTCCCCCCCCCGCCGCTCTTCCTCGCTCCAGGTCCCACTCCCCTTGTCGAGGTAATTGGCGACTCTGGTGCTGTTGGGGGTGGTGCTACTAGGGGTGCTGCGTCTGGGGCTGCTGAGCCTGATGGTACGGAGCCTGAGGGTGCGGGGTTTGGGGGTGCTGAGCTTGAGGGTGCGGAGCCTAGGGGTGCTGAGCCAGAGGGTACTGAGTCTGGGGGTGCTGAGCCTAGGGGTACCGCGTCTGCTGGAGGTCCTACGGGTTCCTCCTCACGGCAGTCTCGCCGGCGCGAGCCTCTCTCACCGCAGCAGCTGCGCGAGTGGTTTGCTCGGCGCACCTGCCTTCTGAATGGCACTGCTGGAGATGGAGGCCCTGCAGCTGGAGGCATTGGAGCTGGAGGCGTTGGAGCTGCTAATCTAGGAGGTGCTGGAGGTACTACTGTCACACGTCTCCTAGCCACTGTTGTCACTGACCCTTCGTTCGAGTCCACTGCTGCGTCTCCCTTAGTTGCTGATCTTGTCGATTTTGTTGCTAGCTGGTAACTCTGTGACGACCGCTGCGTTGTCATGTAGTCAACCCAAGACACGTCTGCGTGTCCAGTGAGGACAACTGGACCCCGTCCTCCAAGCACGAGCCCCGTGCCTGATGTACTGCATAGATAGCGCAACACCCTCTTAACGGCCTCCCAGTGCTCTGGTCAGTGTCTCCTGGGCGCAACGCAGCGAGCCAGGATGCTAAGAGGGTAGGCAAGGTCAGGTCGAGTGCAGGTCATCAGGTACGTGAGGCAGCCCACAAGCTCAGGATACGGGCCACTCGGCTCTACGGACTCATCCAAAAGTGGAGCTGAGAGCGAGCGAGTGGACTGGGGCGAGGAGGACCGTAAGCCAAAGTGCTGAAGGACCTGGTGCACCATGTGTGACTGAGTCAGGGTGATAGTGCGCCGTGCTCTGTCCCAAGTGATCTGCAAGCCAAGATAGCTGCGCAGCTCACCCAGGTCAGTGCAGATGTGTCTCTTCTACAGCTCCGACTTCACAAGGGTCAGTGCCTCAGTGTCAGCAGTGGCAAAAACCAAGTTGTCAACGTACAAGAGGATGTAGAACGGCGACAGCGAAGTGTTGGTGCGCAGAAACAGCGACGGGTCAGCAGTCAAAGGAGCAAACCCAAGGGCCGCAAGTGTCATTCTCAATGTGTCGTGCCACTCATTAGGCGCTTGGCGGAGACCGTAGACTGGCCATCCAAGGCTCCACTGGGTACCCTCAGGAAACGACCCAGTGAAGCCACGAGGATGGCGCAACCAGATCTCGTCGTGCAGGGTGCCCTGCAAGAAAGCTGTGCTGAAGTCAAGAAAATGAAGCTCGTAGTTACGGTGAGCGGCAACGTGCAGCAGCACCCGAAGAGTGGTCATCTTCGGGGTAGATGAGAAGGTCTTGAAGAAGTCAACGCCCTGTCGCTGACTAAAGCCTCGTGCAACGTAACGAGTCTTGAAGAGAGACGGAGAACCCGGCGGCCGCTTCACCCTGAAAATCCACATGCCATCGACTATGTTCGCCCCAGGAGGGGGAACTGCGTTGACGTAAGTGCTGTGGACTTCTAGGATGCTCTATGTCCATGGCTCAATGCCACTAAGAGGAGTAGGGACCCGTAATCACTTCTGCGTAAGAGCGCGGGGTCGGGATGTCTAGAGCATCCGCGTCTCCCTCGGGTGCAAGCAGCATGGCCACGAGATGAGGTACAGCAGCTGCAAGACACTCAAATTCCTCCTGCCTGTCCTCAAGGACGCCCGTGCCAGGAGCACACTCACCCTTGACGGACGGAGAACAGACAGACTCAGACTCTGCAACAAGACTAGTGGCATAGCTTTGGCTCCAGCTCTGTTTCTTGGCTGTCTACCCGCTCGTCTTCTGTTCTCAGTTCCAGTTGTGAGGCTGAGATCTACGCAGGGGCCATGGCTGCACAGGAGTTACGCTGCTCACCTACCGGCTGACCGGCCTGGGAGAGCGACCCCGTTCTCCTCCAGTTCTGAACGTAGACAACAAGGCCATGATTGCCTTGTGTCAGGAGCACAGACTGTAGCACAGAACGAAGCACATCGCTCTGCGTTCCTTCCTTGCTTGAGAGTTGCAGCAACGTGGTCAGCTTCATCTTGCTTACGTGGCCACTCGGGCCAACACTGTTGATATATTCACCAAGGCACTTCCGCCTGGTGATCATCAGCGTTTTTGTACGGCTTTAGGCCTTGTGCCTACTTTGTCTCACTTGCTCACTGCGTGACTTTGCTTGTACTGTGATCTCTCTCTCTATATATATATATATATATATACCTGCATGCTTTCACTTGCTAGGTTATGATCACCGTACTGTTTGTTCTCGTTTATAGAACTCTGCATGTGCACTGACCTTGCGGCCATTTGCTTGTGCTCGGAGTGTGTGGTAACTTTGTGATCCACCCTGAGCTTGCTTTGCTTTTCTTGACTAGTCTTGTGACCTCTTGCTCTCCCCCAATTTGCCTATGGGGGTGTGTCAAACTGTTATAATGTTTATATTGTGTAGGCTGTAGTGGGGTAGCCCATAAGGAGTACAACCCAATTAGGGTTAGTACTTGTACTCAGTTTCTTGTCAATGCATTCATTCTCGTTCAGTTTCTTGACATAGGTGATGCGTATGACGTAGTGGATGATTCCACTAACTACAGTTTTTTACCCTTATAAAGTCGCAACTTTCGAAAGCCTACGTGTTAGCTCTTCTCGTGAAGAGCATGTAGTACCAGTGCTCTAATGGCAAAAACATCTACACGTGGTGCTAATGCAGTGATGTGTCAAGAGCACGCCTCTTAAAAAGGGGATGTTGTCCCAATGTCTTGCTACTGAGCCCACCCAATATTTCAGCCAATGGTGTCATTTTGGCACTATTATTCCTAACAAGTGTGTAAAGATGATCTTGACGAACACACTAAATAATAAACCATACCTTTATTCAAATTGCTAGATCTCTGTTACAACTTGTTGGTGGTGCACCTTGCCTTGCATTTACTGCATTTCTTGTTTCTCTTCCTAATCCAACTCCTCTTTCCTTTCGTTACCTTGACCTCTTCCTAATCCTGGTCCTAAAATTTCCTAACTAGCTAAATAGTATCAGAGCAGACCTGACCCTAGGCCTCCTTGTTTTTTTTTTTTTCTATGACGCCCTTCTCACCGGCGACCATCTCGACGGTTGCGACATGCAGTGCAACCGTTTTTGCTCCTTTTCGTTGCAGCCCCGCTCTTCCCCGTCTCGTACCCCCACTACGGCCCTCGTCGGGGCCCCGCTGCTCTCGTTGCGGACCCCCGTCGTGAGTCCCGTCCTGGACCTTGTCACCACTCTTGTCGTGGTCCCCCATCGTGGGCAGTGCGCCTGCAACGCCAGCCGCCACCGTCCTGCCGCGGCTGCCGCTATGGGGGGGAGGTGAAGGGGGTGGTGGACGGCGCTTTAGACGGCGCTGATGCCGCACATGCGCCTTGCATCGATGACTGCCATAGGAGGAGGTGGATGGGGTGGCGGGAGTGGCTGATGCCCCTGCTAATGCGCTGTTGACCGCTGCTGCCGCACCTGACACTCCTGCACCTGCCACCACTTCACCAGCTGCGGAACCTTTTTTGGGGGGAAGGCTGTGAGGGTGGCAGCGTGAGCCTGCAGCGCTCTTGCGCCTCCTTCTCCTCTCCTTTCCACTCCTCGTTGCGCCCCCTCCTCCTCCTCCTCCTCCTCCTCCTCCTCCTCCTCCTCCTCCTCCTCCTCCTCCTCCTCCTCCTCCTCCTCCTCCTCCTCCTCCTCCTCCTCCTCCTCCTCCTCCTCCTCCTCCTCCTCCTCCTCCTCCTCCTCCTCCTCCTCCTCCTCCTCCTCCTCCTCCTCCTCCTCCTCCTCCTCCTCCTCCTCCACTCCATTCCACTCTTCGTCGCGCCTCCTTCTCCTCCTCCTCTTCCTCCTCCTCCTCCTCCTCCTCCTCCTCCTCCTCCTCCTCCTCCTCCTCCTCCTCCTCCTCCTCCTCCTCCTCCTCCTCCTCCTCCTCCACTCCATTCCACTCTTCGTCGCGCCTCCTTCTCCTCCTCCTCCTCCTCCTCCTCCTCTTCCCCCCCCCCCCCTCTCTCTCTCTCGCTCTCTCTCTCTCTCTCTCTCTCTCTATCTCTCTCTCTCTCTCTCTCTCTCTCTCTCTCTCTCTCTCTCTCTCTCTCTCTCTCTCTCTCTCTCTCTCTCTCTCTCTCTCTCTCCTACTGTTGCCTCTCCAACTGTCGCCACTCCTCCTCCTGCCATCGCTGAGCAACTGCCGCCACTTCACATGCCGTCGTTGCACCTGCTGCTGCCGCACCTGCCGCCAATGAGCCGTCCTCCCAGTCACCAGCCGTCGTTGCCGTCGCAACTGGTCACTGTGGACTTTGGGGGTGCTGCTTCTAGAGGGTCGCTGTGGACTCTGAGGGTACTGCTTCTGGAGGGTCGCTATGGACTCTAGGGGTGCTGCTGCTAAAGGTACTGACTCTGGGGTTGGTGGTTCCGAGGGTGCTGGCTCAGAGGGTGCTGCTTCTGGGGGTGCTGACACTGGGGGTGCTGGCTCCGGGGGTCCTACCACAGGAGGTACTAGATGTGGGGGTGCCGCTACAACAGGATGTCCACCGCAGCAATAGCAGCCCCGACCGTTGTAGCAGCAGCAGTCGCAACAACCGTTCCAACTACGGCAGCAGTCGTCGCCTCTTTGGTCTTCATTACCCCCCAACTGACCGCCCACCTCTTCCTCCTCGCCATCTCTCCTAGTCTTATGGTCCCACGTTTCCTCTTCTGGACTCGTCTTTAGCTCGTGTTCGTCCTCGTTTACATCTCACTCCTCCTCTATCTCCTTACTAGATTCCTGACCCTCACATCTGGGTCCATAGTTCCCCTCGTGCTCGTCTTGCGCTTCCTGTTCCCATTCTCCACACTATGCTCCTTAATTCTCGTCCCCCTCGTGTTCCGCCACCTGCTGTTCTCCTGTTACCTCCGCCGTCGTCCCTTGCTGTCCCCTCCTCTGAATTCCTCCATGCCACTTGCTCTGCGGAGAGTCACTCGACAAAGGCAGTGAGCTAGACTACCGGGGTTGGCACGAACTACTAGGAGTGATCGTAGCTTTGCTTAGTTCCTTAGTGCTTGCATATTCACGGGAGAAATCGACAAGATTTTCCACTAACAAAGTTGGAATTACAGAATATTTGTACATGGAATCACAACAATGACTGCATCGGGCACCTAGCAACTCTACAGCTAGCCTGGTCGACCGCCAACACAGCTTGGTTGACCGCCTGCCAGCGTTGCGTAGGGGAGCCGCGCCAGCATCGTAGAAAGACGAACTGCCAACACTGCAGGTCGATGGCGTGCCAACGATGCAGCAAAGCGGCTGTCCAGCGTTGCCTCGTAGAAGACAGCAGTGCGCACGCTTGCAGGTGCGCGCAGACGATTGGCCCAACTTGCGTTGCTGTGCATCCGTCGGCTCGTGTCTGCGCCTGACGAGCCACATCGACTTCGGGATACCAGCCCGAAGTCGCCTTCGCCATCGCGACCTCGACGATGTTCGTGTGCCTCCGCAAAACTCATCGAGCAGGTTACCCGGTCGACCTAGACACCACCAGGTGCTCTGGTCGACCACCAAGTGCCTCCGGCCGACCACCAGGTGCCCCTGGTCGACCACAACTCCCGTAGAGCTACCCCCTGGTCGACGGACCCCTTCCGTCGACTCGAACTGTCAGCGGTTGTTGTCGAGCTCTCCTCGTCGGCCAATGCTCACTAGTCAGGTCGACGGACTACTCCATCGACCTCCCAGTCGAATTGCAGGTTGACAGACTGCTCCATCGACCTCCCGGTCGAGCTGCAGGTCGACGGGCTGCTCCGTCGACCTCCCGGTCGAGCTGCAGGTTGACGGATTGCTCCGTCGACCTCCCGGTCGAACTGCACCTCCTGGTCGACGGCCCACCCATCGCCCAGACCAGTCAGATGCAGCGCTCGAGCTCCATAGTCGATAGCAACACCACAGCAGTCCCCTGCAAGGCACTACTACGACATAAGAGGGATATCTCTGAGGCCACGTTGTGCGCCACTTTGCTCGCCAAACAATAAGATATGGATGCTCCCCAGGAGCGCTCCACGCCACGAAAAGAGAGACTTGCCTTTTGCACCAACAACAAAGAAGCGCGACGAGACACACGCCCATGGTGCCACTATTACAAAATGCAGGACTTTCGGTCACACAACTGAGGGGCGCAACCTGCAAAATCTGCTGGACATATGGGCACACAGTGGGGCGATGAAACTTCTGCTCCAACCCCCAACAATTTGCCGACCCCACACCACAGAATGAACAATCGGAGCAGGGCCGTCTAGAAGCACCTGCCCGTAAGGTAGATCGACCGTCTCTGGACCATTGGTCAGCCACATGCGCACCTGATGGAGAAAGTCAAAATATGTCGCAGCCGTCACAAGCCAGCGCCGCACACCACATCATCATCAAGATGGCAATGCGGCAGCCCTGATTCACAAGACAGACTAATCAGTGGCAACAGCGGCCACCCTCACCATCACCCGAACTTGGATCCGACCCATTGGAACCATGGCCCAGAAACGCCAGCAATCCCAGCAGTGGTCTGTATGACGATGGCAATTGACAAGATTGGAATCCGTCAATCCTACTGCTTGAAATCTCACTGCTCAAGTATGATTTGTGGCCGATCCCTAAGAGTTGGACTATGCAACAACATTTCTCCAAACGCGATCCCCCCTCCCCCTCCCCTTTATCTCACCTCACTTGGCGCTACTTGCACGCGAAAACAATGACGATTATAACACCATGTACCTTGATAGTTATTGCATACAACACATGGTGGGCTCTAAGTGCTTCATTCAAACGCCGTCTAGACATACATGGTCACATATATATATATCACCGTAGTGAATAACAAGAGGCTGTAGACAAACACACAAGGGACTATCGACCTGAAGGAACACGACATCAACATGCACATCACCCTCAACGACGTACTCGCCGTGAAGTATATGTGGTTCTACCTGCAGTCAGCAACTTAGCTCGTTCACTGCAGCATGGAACTCCGCACCGATCTAGCATCGTGCGACATCGAGCTTCACTACACCGTCCCCAACAAACGACGGCAATACTAGGGGTGTGCAAAATAACAGAATGGTTACGTACTCGACTTCCACACGCTCGACAGTACAGACGAGTTAATTCACCTCGTCCGACTGGTTGCACTCTGATGGCAGGCGCAGGATGCCTCACCACCTTCAACCTTAGTAAGTGAATCTCCACAATTCCGGGCCCGACAGAGTCTGTCGTGATTGCCACACGCCTACCGCCCCGAGCAATACCGTAGCTGACGCCAGGCTCGAAGTAAATGAAGAAGCCGAGCATTTCGAGCCGCCTGAAAAAAGAGTGTCATTTATGGAAATCATCGTCACCACGACAGCCATATCGCGACGAACCGATTGGTACACTTTTAATGTTCATCATGTGAACATCGTATCAAGAGCTTCTCGGGATCTGCTGTTCAGCTTCTTCAATCCAAGCAATCTCAAGGCTTCATCAGCTAACACCCTGTCATTGATTCATTGTGCTTCACGAGAGTTTTCCAAAGGGAATCCTGATTGGCTATTCGTATTTCATGGCGTTCTCAAGGCTACTGATGATCACCCACAGGTCTTATCAGCAACAACTCAGCACTTACATCAAGAGCACTGGTTTGATGGGAAGACGCTGCGTCTATATTATACTGGGCTCAGACGTTTGGCAACTCAGGCATTTCATGCTTTTCTAAATTAACTGTAGCTGATCTTCGCTCATCATCGCCCTATGGCGCGTCCTCCTCCCAAGGAACGTGCTCCGCTCATTCCGAAACGTGCTGCTCCTGGTGGTGCTATTTCGGATCTTGAATGCAAGGGGAAACAAGTGGAGGAGAATGAGCCGATTTTCAGGTTTATCACTGGAAGAAAAGCTGGCTGCACTTACCTCTGCGCATGATATTGACAACGACGACGACTTCACGGAAGATGACTCGGACACAGAGCTGGAGTTTGAGATATCCAGTGACTCTTCTGCAAAGCTTCGTCACATGGCTATCCTGCTTCTGCCTCTCGTGCTGCAGCCGGAAATCGCCTTGGTCATCGTCACCGCACGGATGCTGCTAAAGCGTGTTTGGTCTTCCTTGCTTTCTGATGGCGCTAACACGAAGGTTGACTTTCAGGACATTCATCCTGCGTATGTCGCAAAAACCAAGTTCAGTCGCCTGCAGTTATAATTTCACAAAGAAGAGGATGCCATTAAAGCGAGACAATCGGTTCTAGAGTATCAGAAGCCAAATGGAACATCGTACCCGCTGCATTGGCTTCATACTGAAAACGCGGTCTTCGCTAAAGAGAAAGCTACCAATCCACGACTCATTGAAGTGGTTTTTAAAGACATACCTGCGAACATTACACCGGAGGCTGTCGAGGAGCTGCTGGTGAAGTACAAGTTGAAGGTTCGGCAGGTCACGCCTTTCCTGGAGAGCCATTGCTTCCACTGGGTTGTACATCTTGTCTCTGGAGCTAACACAGGGGTTATCAAGGGACTGGAAGTTCCGCATCCGGAGGATAAGAAGAGGCGTTGGATTCATCAGGTCAACCACCCGCAGGAGAAGGGCAAGACGCTCTTGGTCCATTACCCTGCGCTCTCCTGTCGGCTCAGTGGGGGATGGCACTATGATACGTATCATGATGCCTTCATCACAGACCGACAGCATAACATAGGGAAATGGAGCTTGAGTTTAGGTCGTGTGCACGGGATTGACAGTAACGGTGCAGCTGCTCGATTTCATGATCCAGCTTCTCTTACCTGTTCTTCGGATCCTAACCACTCAGCCGCTTGTCGCAGCTTCCTCGCTAACTGCAACAACTCTTGTTCGTCCGATCCTGCTCGACCAGGCGATTGTGTTGATCTCCACCGGAAGTTCCAGGGAGGAATGGATTTGCACTAAGATCTGCTGCGGGAAAGCACACGGGAAGCTGTTTGTCACTTCTGCAGAGATCGTCACCTCGGCGCGTCATGTGCACGGTCAGGGAGAGCTCGGTGGTGATACTCGGTTGACGAGGGAGAAAGAGAATCTGCACACGGTTCGCAAGGAGTATGGGATCTAATGGCTCCAGAGAAACTCACCATGGCGATAGCACTTGGTTCGGTGTTAGCTGCTCTGTTCTGTATCACCAGCCTGTGGATGCGTAGAGGCGATCAAGGAGTTATTAAATGAATACACGAAACACCCTGTCGTTTGCGGGCCTGAGTGTTAACGGCCTGGGGGATTTCACGAAGCGGAAACGTACAACGACATGGATTAATAGCAGAAAAGGAGCAGATGTAATGGTTTTTTCGGATACCCGAATAGCAGATGATCACACTTACTGACCTTCTCTTAACCTCACCTCTCTCGCCGTTGCCTCGTCTGTGAAACGAGCTGGTGGTGTTGCAGTCCTGAGCCGGCGAATAGATCTCTCTTTTCACAACCCTTTAGCCCATCCTTTCGAGAGTTTAACGAGGATAAGTAGATTAAACTAGGGCCTAGGCTTAGTAGCCTAGGCCCAACTAGGATGTCGAGCGGGTTTCTCCTAGGGTGAGTGTCGAGTGAGTTGGAAGAGAAGTTGGGAGAATGTGTGTTTCACTATAGGGTTCGAAGTACATATAGCAAAGGAAACACATAAGGTGCACCACCAAACAAAGTTTAAATAACTACACTAACTACAGCTACAGGCAGTTACAAATATAAGTTTTGACACATCCTTCCGGAAGACTTGTAACGGTGGAAGTCCACTGCTTGTGATAATAAACGAGAAATGAATGAATTGAGCAGAATGAGGAGTACAAGTAGGAAACCCTAAAGTGTTGTACCCCATATGAACTGCCCCAGTACAGCCTACACAGACTATAGCATATACGCCTGACACACCCCCATAGGCAAAGTGGGGGAGAACAAGGGGTCACAAGACCAGTCAAGCAAAGCAAGGCAAGCTCAGGGTGGATCACAACGTCACCACACAGTCCGAGCATAAGAGCAAGGCCACAAGGCCAGTTCACATGCAAGATCATATATATAAAGGTAAACAAGCAAGTGCAGGTATAGAAAGAGGACAGCACAAACAAGGTCAAGAAGTGAGCAAGTGAGGCCAAGTAGGCACAAGACCTAGCATAGTACAGAAGCGCTGATGATCACAAGGTGGAAGGGCCTTGGTGAATATATCAGCAGTGTTGGCCTCAGAGGCCACGTAGGTGAGGCGGAGGTGACCACGCTGCTGCAGCTCACCAGCCAGAAAGTAGCGGAGAGCAATGTGCTTCGTTCTGTGCTCCAGTCTGTGCTCCCGACACAAGGCCAGCATGGCCTTGTTGTCTACGTACAGAACTGGAGGAGAACGAGGCGGCTCTCCTAGGTCAGTCAGCAGGTAGGTGAGCCAGTGTAGCTCCTGTGCACCCATGGCCCCTGCGTAGATCTCAGCCTCACAGCTGGAGCTGAGAACAGAAGACGAGCGGGTAGACCGCCACGAAACAGAGCCGGAGCCAAGGCTGAAGGTGTAACCCTGTGACGACCGCTGCAGAGCCTGGTCGTCAACCCAAGAAGCGTCTGCGTGACCTGTGAGGACCACTCGACGTCGCCCTCCAAGCACTAGCCCCATGCCCGACGTACTGCACACGTAGCACAACACCCTCTTCACTGCAGCCATGTGCTCTGGTCGGTGTCTCCCAGGAACAACATAGCGTGCCAAGATGCTAAGAGGGTATGCAAGGTCAGGTCCTGTGCAGGTCATCAGGTACATGAGGCAGCCAACAAGCTCTGGGTATGGGCCACTCGGCTCTACGGACTCATCCGAAGGCAGAGCTGAGAGCGAGTGGCGAGTAGACAGAGGAGTGGCCTGAGGCGAGGAGTACGTGAAGCCGAAGCACTGAAGGACCTGCTGCACCATGTGTGACTGAGTCAGGGTAATGGTGCGCTGTGCTCTGTCCCGGGTGATCTGCAAGCCAAGGTAGCTGCGCAGTTCACCCAGGTCTGTGCACGTGTGTCTCTTCTGCAGCTCGGACTTCACATGGGCAAGTCCAGCAGTGTCAACAATGGCAAAGACCAATTCGTTGACGTACACGAGGATGTAGAACGGCGGCAAAGAGGTGTCGGTGCGCAGAAACATCGACGGGTCGGCTGTAGAAGGAGCAAACCCAAGAGCCGCAAGTGTAGTCCTTAGTGTGTCGTGCCACTCACGGGGTGCCTGGCGGAGACCGTAGACTGGCCGCCGGAGGCTCCACTGGGTACCAGGGGGAAACGACCCAGTGAAGCCAGGTGGGCGGCGCAGCCAGATCTCCTCGTGCAGTATGCCCTGCAGGAAAGCTGTGCTGAAGTCAAGAGAGTGAAGCTCGTAGTCGCGCTGAGCGGCTTTGTGCAGCAGCACCCGAAGAGCGGTCATCTTTGGGGTGGGAGAGAAGGTCTGAAAGTAGTCAACTCCCTGCCGCTGACTAAAGCCTCGAGCTACGTAACGTGCCTTGAAGACAGGTGGAGAACCCGGCGGCCGCTTCACCC